CAGAAGACCTATACATTTTTTTTATTTTTGATCCTTTGTAGACTTTAGCAGTAAGCATTATTTCTGCTTAACTCTTGATTTCATTTGCATGAATCTGCTAAAAACTAGCAAATACAGTAGAATCAGCAAGAYAATTTTGAAAACAACACAAACTGAATGGGGACATTTTATGCTGAGACAAAAAAAAAGAAGAAAATACCTGAAGGAAAAGTAGGAAGAGGAAGTAAGCATTAGCAAGCCTGGTGAACTGCTCAAACAAGTTGAGAGGCAAAAAGGTGAAAATGTTGTATTTGGAGGTTTTGATGGCATTGTTCTGTAAAAAGACAACAGTGACATAACGTAGTCAGACATCTCAGATTCTGTCGGAGTCAAAACTTCAAAAATATGATAGAACAACTTCTTTTTGCACTTACAACGTAGTGATAAGACAGGTTGAACTCTCTGTCGTTAGCTTGCAGGAGCCTCTCCTCCTCTGCCAAAAGTTTAGAGCAACAAATGAAATCTGATTCTTWACACCAGGGCCAGGACAATGAAAACCAATGTATTTTTTAATATTCACATCTAACATATGTGAAGTTATCAGTGACATTTTAAAAAAGGACTGAGTGTCATAAGCATATTGTAAAAAACAATCAAACATGTGATGGAAGGTTTTTGTGCATCATCAGCTCACCTTGTTGTTTCTCTCTTCCACACAAGCTGTCAAAGCAGGACATCACTGATCCCATCTTTAGCTCAGTTCTTCCATTTTTCACACCTGAATCGAGTGTAAAAGTACATTTTTGACAGAGTTAGGTATTTTGCAAATTACATGAACCCATATTTTATAAGAAATATGTTCCGATGTTACTTTCAGTACAACCAGAGACACACCCAGCTGGAACCAAATTCCTTGTATTTTTTTCTACAATCTTGGATAATAACTATTGTAATAATGTATTTTTTAGATGTGTTGCTGCAGTATATTTCAAAATAAATTATTAGAGAAAAGGTGCTTCTTACTTTAATATTTCAACAATATATTTACTTTGCTCTGTGAATCAGTTATTTATGAGATAGTCCAATTACCACATTGACACTTTACATGTCTCAACTTTTGTATGAAACCAATAAATGTTTTTTTCATTTATGCTAAAATCTACACACATTTTAGATGCTTATTTACCCCCTCAAAATGTGAAAAAAGTTGCACTATGTGATCATTTAATGACTATTTATTCAAATGACTGCAGCTGTAAAAAAT